AGGCTCTTTATGATCTGGACCCTTTAATGTTCATGTTTTGCACTGTTCAATGTAACATAACCACCGCTGACTACTCTTCACTGCCAATGCATTGCAGCAAAGCCCTGGGGCATCAAGTAATAGACCTTCCACCCACTGATTTACACGCCTGTTGAAGACACATATGCCTGCAGGCTCAACACTGCACAGTGACCTTGGTCCAGGCATATAAATGGAACCAGTAGTCCAATAGAGTCATAGTCCTCCTTTACATTAGAATGATGGACCATGGAAACCCATTCAGCCTCTGAGAGAGGTGAACTGTGGCTGCTAGTATGAGATATGAAACCAGAGGCAGCACTAACACAGGCCATCCACCACCAGTGCCAAACAATGGTGTACAGTATTACTGTCAGATGATGCCCAGTTTTATTTTTGGCAAGTTTTATAAGACAAACAACAAGCAAAGACATTAACATTCGTTTATTTGGCTTTATTCAAAGCTCAAAGTTAGTGGACTATATGAACGCACTGCTATGGAACACATAGACTGGAGGGTAGCCTAATACATTCATGTACCAGCAAAATGAAAATAAAACAGCTAAAATTAAAATAAATAATGAATGGCTGATCATGTGTTATAAGCAAATATTAGCCAATTGTCTACCCTAATCAACACATATAGCATTGAAAATCCATAACTTACACCTCAGACAAAGTTAGTAACCCTTTTTTATCTACATATGGAGTACAGTAGAAAAGACAGAAAGCACCATTCATTGATGTAATTTCCAGTCAAAACGGCCATAAAGTTATTCATTTTTCAGTGAAAGGAATAAAGCCAAAACACTTTTAACAGAAAATTACATAGAAGCCTCAAGAAGTCAACAATAATATCGACATTTTCAGCACTTAGTGTGGCCTTTATTACAGCTTCCATTCTTTTCAGGAGATAGTTTTCAACAAAAAATCGGCAGGAAAAGTTCAGTCTTATAATCTGGTTGCACTTTTGGCTTCTTACAATCCAAGGTATTACAAACTATGAGGTCTGGACTCTATTTCCTTTTCTCAGTATGGGCTTCTTGACAGCTGCACATCCTTCCAGACTCACAGTGTTGAGTTGTCTTCTCACAGTGGAAGGATGGACAGAAACATCTGTGGCTTTTTTCAGATGTGAAGCAAGAGTGGAGCTTGATTTTCATTTGATGGTGGTCTGCCAGGTCTTGCACAGTCGTTAGGAGTCCCATTTTCTCTATATTGTGTAATAATTTTGAACCCTAGTTTTGGAAGCTCCTGACTTGTTTTCTCACTTATTTGACTTTCTCCCTGTAAGTGGATTACCAAATATCTAATGTTCTCAGAATGGCCGTTCTTACTGGTCTTGACGTTTGCATAGCACTATGTCACCAGCTTCTCTGAGGACCACCCGATTGTGTCAGAACAAGCTGCAACATGAGCATATAGGTCACCATAAGATTCAAGAGTTTTGTTTTTTTGACCTGCTTTTTTGGAGTGTCCACATTTCTGATGCAAATGTGCCTCAGTGCAAACAATCCTATATAAAGAGCGCACTGAACATTTTTGTCCAGCTTTTCAGTTAAGTGACCATTCAAGGGGTTTGTCACAACACTGTTCACTGAAGCGGAAGAACGCTGGCAGTTTCTATGGAGACCTCTCCCACAAATCACATCCAAAGAATAAGTCATACAATATGAGGATAACACAAACAACTCACTTGACCTTCCTGCAAACGGTCAATGACAATAAAGCGCATTATGAGAACACTACAGTGTTTTAAGCCATTAGCTTCCACTCAATATATCATTAAGAGCCATATATAGTATACCATGCTTTGCTTCAACCCAATGTACTTGTTTAGCCTAAAGAAAGAAAAAGCCCTTATCTGGGAAGGTCTTAAGTGTTTGATGTGGTGCAGATCACTCACAGGTAAAAGCAAGCAGGCAAGAAGATATCTCCATGTTTCAATGCACAATCTAGCTATGACCACCAGCCCAGATGTGACAGCACTAGTTCTTTTGGGAAGTATGCAAGGCTTTCAACTACCTGATGAGGGCTGACTGGCTGACATTACAATCTGATTTATGATTTGCCTTATTGAAAATCATTCACAATGATTTCGCAAAGGTGTCTTTAAAGTGTATTTCCCCCAGGAGGACAGTATGCAGTAAGAGTTCAATGACCCAGTCTACATGGGTCCCCAGCGAGACTACAGAAAGGCTGCAGCAGCAGACAAAACTACCCCAATGCGCTAGACCTCAGAGAGGCTCGGAGGGAGGCTAAAACCACCTCAGCCCAGTAGTCACTCCAGGAATCCCAACCAAAGGCCCTGCCCATATCGGATAGCACATGCCTCTCCATTAGTGATAGGAATACTCACGACTCTGGCCGACATCCACAGAAGCCATAAGTGACTGCCATGAAGACTCCAATAGATAAGAAAAGGTGTGCGAAATGCAGATTTCACTTCCAAGATTTCAAAACGAGCTCACATTTTGGCTTAGGAGTAGGCCTATACAGTGCATTGTGGTGATGGACATGGAATGTGTTTAGGTTTCTGACCAGCCAAGTACTTCAGAAGCATAGATCCCTTACTGCAAATGATACATGATACGTGACCATTTGCTCTGGTTTGTTCGGTAAACAACCAAATCCCTTGTGTTAGAGAGACTCTCCAGCCAAAACTGAAAAATGTTACATTGCCACATCTGTTGAAAATATGCCCAATCGCTTTTTTACAGCTGTGCTACAGTAGTCTCTAAAGTGAGATTTCTTGGTCTAAAGAATATGAAACCCCCTTCTTATGATACGTCTTGAAGGTGGATGTAAATTTTTAAAGATAACAAGTGCTCTAGGGTGGATACTTGGGGGGCAGGCTATTTGAAATTGTGGCTTAATTATTCCTTTAACAAAGAGAAAACATTGACAACCAGTTGAGGTTAGTGCTACATCTACACTAATGCTGGCTAGCACCACTAGATCACCACTAGAGCCTCTAGATCAGTGGCTAACAGTCAGATTAGTGAATCATGAATTCTGTCAAACCAACAAAGCTGAGGGACTACTACAGAATACTACATAACATAATAAAGTACTATGAACTGCTAGATTTAGGGCCAAACCATCCTTTACAAAACTCCAACAGTGGTCACAGAAGTTCAGCTGAACACAACTGAAAGTGAATTCAATCTACATTGGGAGGGATATTTAACCCAAATTTCTTAAATATCTTCTTAACAGTCTAAACTTCTTCCCAACAATATCTCACACCATGAAACTATGCCACTAAGATCTACAGCGCCAGTGAGATCTGAGGCTAAAAGCCAGTACAGTAAAAGTGGACTGGTAAAACTAAGCTATAGGGTGGATTCCTGCTGTGGAAAGACAACCACGTGGAGCGTTTCTTCCCTCAGCAATGAAAGCAAAGATGATGATGATGATGATGATGATGATGATAAAGGACCAGTTAACATTCTAGAGATCTTGTCTTTCTCTCATCAGCCCCAGCCATGTTGGAGCTGCTCCTTGGCTGTCAGCAGTAAGGCCCACCTTCACACATGCACTGCCCGCAAACGCTTAACACCTGGCAGCCTACACACAAAAGATGGTTCTTCAGTAAAGAAACTGGTTCTATACAGAACTACAAACACTTTAAGAACCCTTTGCATGTTTAAAGCATTCTTTGCATGGTGAAATGGTTCCCTCAGATAGATGGAGACGTGCTGTAGACAGTTCTGTATAGAACCTTTTTGAAAATGGTTCTATATAGCACGAAAAAGGGTTCTTCTCATGTTACAAGTTTAACATCGTAACAATAGAAGAACCCTTTTGGTGCTATATAGAACCCTTTTCATTAAGGTTCCATCTACAGCACATTCTGAAGAACCCTTTTACCATGCAAAGAACCCTTTAATCCTGCAAAGGGTTCTTTGAGTGTTCCAGGTTCTATATAGAACCATTTTCTTTACTAGACTATCCTTGAAGAACCATTATTTTTAAGAGTGTACGTTACATGTTAAAGCAGAGACCATTTTTAGACCACACACTTTAAAAAGATGGCTCTTCGAGGGTTCTTTAGCAAATTAAATAGTTCTATTTAGAACCATGAGTTGCATATGGAACCATTTCATGCTTCAGTGGTTCTCTGCATGGTGAAATGGTTCTCCAGATTGATGGAGAATGTGCTGTATATGGTTCTACATAGCACCATTTTCAAAAGGGTTCTAGGTAGAAGCATATACGACACATTCTCCATCAATCAACAATTTCACCATGCAAAGAAGCTTTTAAGCATGGAAATGGTTCTATTTTGAACACATGGACCATTGCTTTTATTGAAGAACCATCTTTTTTAAGTGTGTAGGACCATTGCCCACCCAGAGCAGGTCCTAAACTAGTATAAAAGGGTTCAGAAATGGTAGAAAACAACATGGAAATCCCGGAGTGGGTGAATAATGAGGCATTTCGAAAGGGAAAGTAGCTTAAAGTTCATGGCTGCAGGCCTGTAGTTTCAACACAGCTGCATGGATCACATGAACCCCTGTCATTGCTGCCATTACTGCCCCTCTGAATGCTTTTCCTTTCCCTCTCTCCATCCATCACAAATAATCTTGAGTAGAGGACTAGACTAAATTCAAAATCACGCCAGACACAACAAATTGAACCCAAAGCTTTGATTATCCCGGTGTTTTTCAACAGCAAAAAGGCTGAAGAGGAACGGAGCATCGCTTAAACACGCAGCTGAATAGCTCAGATGAGGCGAGGCTGAAGTTGGTTGCCTATTCGCCAGCTTCTTGTTCGAATTTCCCGTTCCACCTTAAATGGTGCAGCAGTTATAATGTAACTGCTGCACCATTTAAGGTGGAACGGGAAATTCGAACGAGAAGCTAACTTCAGCTTCGTATGGATGAGAGGATTCATCCTGCAGGTGTGGCACTAGAATGCAGCTCTCCCCAAAAAGAAGGGTCCGTCTCAACCCAGGAAATAAAACCACACGGACTTACTCTGCAGTGTCCAGATTCTCCCCAGCTGCTGCCCAAGGGTAAAATGGCTTAAGTGGCTCGTGTGTGTTGTTTTCTCCCCTGTGGTGTGGCTTATCAAACGTGCAGCACCATCAGCGTGGGGCTCGGTGTCCTCTGGGCGATCACACTCCACAAGCCGGATCGGGACAGAGCCGCGGTGACTGAGCGCAGCTCCAGAAGCGCAGTCCTCCTCCTCCTCCGCCTCGGTTCCTCATGGACAGTGGGTCGTGTCCCTTTTGTCCAGCACCCGGTCGTTTCGGGGTGTGTGCGTGTGTGGACTTCAGTGTTGATGTATGGGGAGTGTGTTTTCATCCGCCCTGCAGGTGATGAAAGGCGAGCTTTAGACGCCCCCTCATGGAGGTGGTGGGGTGGGCGTTTTTGGGGGAAAATGAAAGGCTGATGAGCTTTGCGTAGATTTTGCGTAGAAGCCGCTGCTCAAAAAAATGAAAAAATGAGATATTTGGTTAAATGTGATTTATTCTCCCGTAATTCTTGCCTCAACCGGTTTTGACTGTGTTCCCCAATTTGCTACCATCCAGATTTATTTATTTATTTATTTATTTATTTATTTAACACTGCAGCCTCTGTTCGTAACAACAGGAATATTATGTGGATAATTTCTCCACCTAGTGGCAACTTTGTGTAAGTGCACCTGTGCCATAAGGGAGGGTCCTGCTTTGTTAATGCTATTTTTCACTGTCATAGAAAGAATGTGCTTTTCCCTTTTTCTGCCTTTCCTTTCCCTTTTCTGGGAAGGCTTTACACTAAATGTTGTGAGGATTTGATTGCTTTCAGCCACAAGAGCATTAGTGAGGTCAGGTAGGTACTGATGTTGAATGATTAGCTTTGGATCACAAATGCCACTCCAACTCATCCCAAAGGTGTCGGATGGAGCTCAATCTCTCCAGAGAACGCAGATCCACAGCTCCACGGGCTGATGCTGGGGGGTGTTATGCCCCTCTGGCTGACGCTGGCTAGGCATGGTGACCTTAAGGCCCATGTGCAACTGCTGTGTCCAGTAGCTGAATTCACCAGTTAGAACAGGTGTATGGATACCTTTGGACATCTGATGTAATTATAATAGTTTATTAAACGATATATAAATATAGTACCGCTGCATGGTTGAAATCTCTCCATTCTGCCTACAGATGAAGTATGCAACCAGCAATGATTATGTCTAACCCTACCATTAAATTGTCTTATAGCAGGATGCAAAATACAGCCATTATCAGACTGTGGGATGTTGTTTAGGTTACATGAATCTAAATAACAGGGTTACAAGAGCAGATAGAATGGAATATTTGCTGTTGATTTATCTCATATGAGAGTTCATGCTGGTTTATGCTGGTCTAGTGCATGTCACCCTGCATGGTCATGCTGGTTGACCACCATACCAACATCCAAAGCACAGCATATGCTGTTTTTGCTAATGACCAGTATATTAACTTCTATTGCTACTGACCAGCATATCAGCATTCAAAACAACATACGCTGGTTTTGCTAGTGACCAGCCATGCTGATCTACGCTGGATTTTCTAGCAGGGAGGCCATTGTAAAAGCATTTGAATCAACCACTACAGTGCTGGCAGAAACAGTACCATTTATCCTGAGGTGTAGAATGGCTTAATGTCTGTAAGTCATTCTATAGGCTACCCATAATGCTTTCCCTGTCAAGCAGCAACTCCCCGCACTCTCACAGCGGCTAGTTCACAGCTGTGAGCCTTAAAGGAGGAGATGAAACAGTCAGCACTATCAAAGGCTGTGGTGAATGCATGCCGAGGCGCAGTCCCATCAAAGGCCCTCCCACCCAACCACGGCTAGTCTTTCCTCAAAAAATCTGGCTGCCGTTACACTGCTTGACATTTGAAGGCTCTGCTTTCCAGAGAAATGTGTTCACAGCGTGCTAGCACTGCAAGACTGGACATCATTAAATGTGTAGCAGCAGCAAATGATCTACTACGGAATCATAGATGTCTCAGATATAATAAACCTTAGGCTTTTTCACAAAGCAGCCTCAAACCATGTCCATAAGTATTTGTGTGCCATAGTCATCATGTAGATAAGCAGCATTCATATACAGTGAACTTCTGTGTGAACCCATTTATGTTTAAAGTCGTCTTCATATTTTAAAGGGCAAACACAAAAAAAATAATGTATTGTTCTTCTCCACATGTTTAATACATCATTCAGACATTCACAGTGTATGTTGGAAAAAGTATGTGAACCCCTAGGCTAATGATAAAAGCTAACTGGAGTCAGGAGTTAGCACTTAACTCTTAACTTGGAGTCCAAACAATGAAATGAGGTTGGAGGTGTGGGTTAGAGGTACTTGAATTTTTTTAGTTTGTTATTCACAAGAAGCATCTGAAGCTGGAAAGGGTTAGAGAGTATAGGTATTCATAAGTCTACAGTTAGACAAATGGTGTGTAAATGGAGACAATTTAGTGCTGTGTCTACTTTCCCTAGAAGTGGGCAGCCAACCAAGATTGCTCCAAAGGCACAACACAGAATGCTCAATGAAGTAAAAAAGACCCTTGAGTAAGAGCTAAATGGTTAACGTCTCTATTCAGGACACTGTGGATGAAGCCTCTGCTCTCCAAAAAAGACATGGTTGCATGTGTGAAACTTGCAAAAGTGAACCTTGACACACCAAAACTCTACAGAGAAAATGTTTTGTGCATGAAGCTAAAGTTGAATAGTTCAGGAAGAACAGCACTACATATAGCATAAAACGGGTGCTGCATACCAGCATGAAAATATTATCCCAATAGTGAAGCATGGTGGAGGGAACATCATGTTTGCTGCCTCTGGGCCACAATTTAAAAGATGGAAAAACGTGGTGAAACAGTAGTTACTTGTTTTTCTTTGGGTACTAGTTTGCTTTACAGTGTCCTATATTTACCTCCCCACCATTTTTTATAAATATGTTTTAGGTAACAACCTGATCTCAAAACTATCATAAAATCATGTATCATCAGGCTGCATGTTCGCAGCCATTTTGTGTAATCATTTTCTGTGAGGGAGCTTTTCGAGACACTAAACACTTCAGACATCTAGTTCCTTTCACCACCATTGTAAACAATTCTGAGAATTCCTGGAGAATTCTCTTTAAATCAATAATTTTCTTTTTGCCATTCTCTTTACCACAGTGTGTCCACATATCTGTTTATCAGTGCTGATATTTGTTTGTTTGTTTGTTTGTTTTTTGCATTTTTAATTAGAAAAAAATCCTACTTTACTAACTTCTAAGGAACTGAACCATAAACAACAAAATATAAAGTAAAAAAAACCCAATGCATGTTAATGTGTTGCAATAAAAAGATAAAATTGCAAAGTACTTTATTTTGTAATACAGATATATTTATAAAGTTGTCAAAAAATATTTTTTTAAGTTGACAAGAAATCATTATTCACACATTTCTCTTCAGATCAGAGCATTAAATAATCATTTAGCATTAAATATATTACGCTAAAGCTTTGTAGACCTTCGTGAGAATAACACATAGTGGATAAAAGGTAGCTGGTCTGGACAAAGGCATGAATTTTTTGGGCGTGATCAAGCCCCCATAACTCTCTCTCTCTCTCTCTCTCTCTCTCTCTCTCTCTATTGTCCCACCCATCATTCTATAGCCAGTCCCTGGGCAGATTCTTTAACAGCTCCTCTCTCTCTCTCCCTCTCTCTCTCTCTCTCTCTCTCTCTCTCTCTCTCTCTCTCTCTCTCTCTCCCATACCGCCCTGCGCTGGCCTGCCAGTTGCCGTGGTAACTTGACATGTTTCCATTTGCTCTGATCAATGGAAATGTTGGTGGCGCAGAAGGCTGGAACACTGCCAGCTCTGTCTCAGGAGCTTTCCCCATGTCCCGGTCTCAAGGAGACACAAAGAGGGAGGGGCCTGTGGGAGGGGGTTTTCTTAGGTTATGAGGTCCAGACTTACTGACCGAGGCGAGCTCTGCTATCACTGCGGATCAGGATTTTACGTTGTTTCAGTCAGGCTGAATTTGGCTCCCACTGGAGAATCACTGCTTGTGTCACATCTAGTCTCTGACTGAGTTCTTCTGATTTTTTAAGCTCATCATGGTCTCCTTTACTGGTACTGACCTCAGAGTCAGAATCAGAATCTTTATTCATCAAGTATACCAGATGTATTTCTTTTGGATCCGGTGTCAACTTAAAATTAAATCCAGTAAAGTATAGATAGAAAAAGATACACTATATGTATTATACATACATACATATATACATAAAATAGACAGTATGCAAACAATCTGCGAGTAATATAAAAGATGTGCAATGAGAGTTAAGTAGAGTTACAGTCAAGTACTGAAGTACATATATACAGTATATACAGCTAAAATAATTGAGCGGCAAGTTGTGGATGCAGCGACATGCTGAGGAGCATGAACTGAAATTTAAAACATATCCCACTATCTGAGCAGTAATGATGCTATATACCAAAAAATGATCTGTGATGATACTCTAATAATTATTATTACTATAGAATAACACAAGTCGTTATGCTTCAAAGGGCTTGTATCACAGAAAAACAAAATATTCTCACTTTTTTGGTATAAAGGAGTTAAAACATACTGTCCATATATGAAAACTAAGCTGCAAAAACAGCCAGTGCTGAATTCACTGTTTTTGCGATGTCTTGAAAACAAAGGTATTTGCATATATACCTATTCAGTGTATGCCAGTGTAGCCCCGCCCATTCAAGCTGAATTTATAAGGAGTGTTTCAGCCTGGACTGCTTTATGAATGAAGCACAATACAGGGCAGCCAATCAGAACAGAGGTCATTTACATAAATGAGTCTTAAAGGCAGGTGAAAAACAGTCCCTTAAATTCCCTTTAAATCAAGTCTTATAAGCTCTTAGAAGGTTAATAAGTTATATAAGGTTCTTTCTTCTAACATGAAACTCTTATTTTTTTATTTTATTTTTTTTTAATTGAGCAAATGCAAACTGGCTTATGACCTAGTAACTTCTACATCTTCTTGTGCATGCAGGGTTTTATGGTGAAAAGGTTTGCTGGTGTGACAGTAGTAAAACTCGTATGATTTTATTATCTATTTATCGTAAACTTGCACATTTTGTCAGCGACAAGCAAGGCTGGCTAAGAAACAACTAAGCCGCCAGTTGTCCGATTACTTCTGGTTCCCTACAGTGAGAACGCTATACAAAAGAAGGGTTATGTTAAAATGCATACGGACAATTATTAAATCTGTATTTTAACCTCACTGTCATTCATTTTCATTTCTAATCCAACCAGCATGTTGGAATTAGGGAATTTAGGAATCATGTTAGAGTTTGTGTGAGACAGACATGAACATGATTAGC